CCAATTTACATTTACACCAACAGTGTAAAAGGGTTCCCTTTTCTCCACACCCTCTCCAGCATTTATTATTTGTAGACTTTTTGATGAGGGCCATTCTGACCCGTGTGAGGTTATATATTATTGTAGTTTTGATTTGCATTTCTCTAATAATTAGCGATATTGAGCATCTTTTCATGTGCCTGTTGTATGTCTTCTTTGGAGAAATGTCTGTTAAGGTGTTCGGCCCATTTTTTGATTGGGTTGTTTGTTTTCTATATTGAGCTGTATGATCTGTTTGTATATTTTGGAAATTAAGCCCTGTTGGTCACATCGTTTGCAAATAATTTCTCCCATTCTGTAGGTTGTCTTTTCATTTTGTTTATGGTTTTCTTTGCTGTGCAAAAGCTTCAAGTTTCATTAGATCCCATTTGTTTATTTTTGCTTTCATTTCCAGTACTCTAGGAGACAGATTCAAAAATTGTTGCTGCAATTTATGTCAAAGAGTGTTCTGCCTATGTTTTCCTCTAGGAGTTTTATAGTATCTGGTCTTACATTTAGGTCTTTAATCCATTTTGAGTTTGTTTTTGTGTATGGTGTTAGAGAATGTTCTAATTTCATTCTTTTACATGTAGCTGTCCAGTTTTCCCAATACCACTTATTGAAGAGACTGTCTTTTTTCCATTGTATATTCTTGCCTCCTTTGTTGAAGATTAATTGACCGTAGGTGTGTGGGCTTATTTCTGGGCTCTCTATTTCATTGACCTGTATGTCTGTTTTTGTGCCAATACCATGCTCTTTTGATTACTGTAGCTTTGTAGTATTGTCTGAAGTCTGGGAGGGTTATGTCTCCAGCTTTGTTCTTTTTCCTCAGGATTGCTTTGGCAGTTCTGGGTCTTTTGTGGTTCCATATAAATTTTAGCGTTATTTGTTCTAGTTCTTTGAAAAATGTCATGGGTAATTTGATAGGGATAACATTAAATCTGTAAATTGCTTTGGGTAGTATGGCCATTTTAATAATGTTAATTCTTCTAATCCAAGAACATCATCCAGTAATTTTAAACATCTATTAATGGCCCTTGCCTGAATGAATTATTACATTGGTAATAATTTCATTATTCCCTCTCTCTATATATATATATATTAGCTGCCATTTTTTTGATAAAGAACTTTCCTTGTCCCCAACACATACTTCTATTTAAAAAAATGTCCTCAGTAGATTTCATTTTTATTCTAATATATTATTTATTACTGTTATTATTTTTTTTAAATCTCAAATTTGGCCAATAGGAAACCCCTCAAAGTGGCTCCTCTGCCTTTGGAGACAATGACCTTTCGTCCAAAGACATAGCCAGCCTGAGAAGACTCTAGAGGGAGGGAGCCAGGAAAATACATAACCGTTCCTTCCTCTGACTTCCTGCTGGAAGTCGAAGCTTGACTGAAGTGCCTTGATGTAGTTCATATAGGTCAGTTTTCCAAGTGCAGAGAGCAGTATGGAGAAAGGTAGAGAGTGAGTCCAAAGGGACAAACAAGATATCTGGCAAATGTATGCATATATAGAGTCATGGACCCCTTGAAATCACTATGTAAACCAGAGGTTTGAAACCTCTGTGTTATTTAATCCCTTTTGCTAGTAGATCTACGGAGTGCTAGCAGTGTATGTGGTTTATTTATGTCTTATATGAATGTTACTTTCTACTCTGAGATTTCTCTTAAAAAAAAATTCATCAGCTCTTATTCTCAATTTCAGTATTTCTCAACAGTGCTCCTCATTGCACTTTTAAATATAAGACCAAGTAGTCTTGATCCTCAGAGTCCTCCATAAATAGCTCCATCACTCTTTTCATCTAGGAGATGAAGATCCAAAATAGTTTCAGACACTTCAGACACCATTCTGTTGCTAATATCTCTAGGGAAGAAACAATGTCTGTTAACTTCTTTTTTCTGATCACTCATCTGTTTTATTATTTTATGAGACAGTTTCATCACAAACATTGTATTTGGGATCGAGCATTTACTGAGTAATAAAAAAAGGCTTTATGGCCCCAATTACTTCTGAATGGGAGTTAATTACAGGGCCTCTCAGTGAATCAGAACCATTGTATTGTTATAGCATCTTTGTATTTTTTTAGTATGTTTTTTAGCCAAATGCATAATCTATTGCATAATCCAAATTATTTAAATTTTGGTAGATTGCTATTAATTTCCCCTCTAAATTTCACCTTTTATCTGTGTTAACAATATCTTCTTGCTGAGTGCCACGTGTTTCTTCTTGTTTGATAATATATCCCCTCTCTAACATCAGGTAAGCTCATTTCTATTTTAGTTTTTAAATGTGATATTCATTTCACTACTTTTTAGGATTTGTTTTCATAGATCACATTTTCAAAGCTAAGCTTTCGGACTTAACCCCTACTTTTTTCCCTAGTTTTATAGTGGGAGCAAAGTAGTGTTTACACAACCTAATTAACTTTACAAATAATGTTCTATTATTGTTATTCCTCTTCAGTCTTTTCTGAATTAATTGAACCTCAGTTATGAAGTGTTTTTAAATATCACTTCTTATTTATGAAATTCTAAATATCAGTATTTTTTAAAGTGCATCAGTTATTACTGTAAGCCAGATTCCTAAGATGGGATATTTCATATTACTTAAAAGATTTAATGAGAACACTTTTTAATATGTTACTGACAGTTTTTTTCTTTCTTCAATGAGTATGACATTAACATGTCTCCTCATTAACCAAAAATCTTAGTGGTCTTCTGATAATCATTTTGAACCTTATAACCATTTTTATCATACTAAAGATGTTGAAATTATAGGAGATTTGGGTTCAATATTTATTCATTAATTCAGTCAGGCAAGCATTCTTTGGTAGGCCCTAAGGACCCAAAGATGAATACTGCACAGTCACTGCCCACAGACATATAAGCAAATATAGTATGTAATAAGGGAAAATATATGAATAATACAGTGTGGTAAGTATTATAATCAGTGTATGCTTAAGGTAGGTGAGTGACACAAAGCATAAGTAACATTTCTTGGGGTGCTGCCGGAGAAGACATAATAAATGTTTAATAGATGAATAAACACTAATAAGTAATAAAACACTAATAAAGGACATAGTTCTATGCTGTGGGCTCTAAAATTCTATTATTGGGAATTCCCTGGCAGTCCAGTGGTTAGAACTCCGCACTTTCACTGCCGAGGGCCTGGGTTCAATCCCTGGTTGGGGAACTAAGATCCTGCAAGCCATGTGGTGCAGCCAAAAAAAAAAAAATTCTATTATTTTATTTAAACATAAGTTAGGGAGAAACTTAGACACTTGAAAATGCAACTAATGTTATGAGGTTATACAGCACATGCTGATTGCCAAGTGAATGATATAGTAACTAGAATTTATTGATATATTCTGCTACACAGACTGTATATCTGATTACATGTAATCCTCACTAACTCTCTGAGATAGGTACTGATACTAAGGCCATTTTACAGGGAAAGGCACTTGAGGTTTACAGAGGTAAAATAACCTCCTAAGACCACACAGCTAAAATATGGTGGAGCCAGGATACCTGCTCAAGACAAGATCAGCTTTAGAAACAGTGTTCTTAATCATTACAAAATGAACATAAGGAACCATAGGAACCCAGAGGAGAAGGAAAAACTTGCCTGTTGAGAGCATTTGGAGAAGAGTTAAAAATTAGATACATGATGGGTATCATGATGGGTATATTCCAGGCATGGGTATTGGCATACATAAGTGTTGGTTGGGCAGTATACCCTAAGTAAACTGGACCAGTATGATGGAGTAGTTCATTCATGTAGGAGCATCAGGGAAGATCAGGTTGGAATCTGAGGATGGAATGGGAACCATCTGTCAAAGATTCTGAAAATGAGTAATCTGTACTTGATCTGATAGAGAGCCATTGAGGTTATGGGAGCAAGGGAGTAATATGGAAGTCACTGTAACATAATGGTTAAGTTCTTGAGTATCATTTTCAGATTTTGTGATGTTTAGCATGCAAGTTTACTACTCTTAGGTTCCTTTGTCTTATCTATAAAATGATAATGGTAATACTATCTATCTCACAGAGATTAATTTGTAAAACCTGACATATCCAAGCATTGAGCAAATGTTACATATTATTATTGTTGATGTGTTTTAGTAAATTTAATCTGAGAACAGTGCATAGGAGTCTTGGCCTAAGCATTAGGCTGTTAGTTGAGAAATGCTTGAAACATAGTTTTATCAGGTAAATGGAAAGGAAGGGACAAATACTAGGACTGTTTTAAATGAGTAATATCAGTATGTTAAGGTATATAGCTTTCTAAAAATACATGTTTCTTTGTGCTGTTTCATAATATTCATGTGTTCATTGTTATATCAATAGTTAATAACTGAAAACTGAATGTAACTTTATAATTTACAAAGCCACTTTGACATGTTATTGAATTTGATTCTCAGAACCATTCTGTGAGATACTGTTATTTCCATTTTATTAAGGCCCAGAGAGGTTAAGTGATTCATTGAAGATCATGCAAATTAATAAAGGAAGCAGTTTAAAACTTGCGTTTTCATACACCTATTCTAGTGCTTTCCCCTTTATTCCTATATTATGTTATGACGAGAACTGATGTACTATAGCAGGCAACACTATGAAAAACTATTATTAGTATTTGAAAGAGTTAATATCATTTCTTAGACATCTGCCTTAATACCAAGAAATAACCAAGGCATGAAAGGAGAGAGACAAGTTCAGAGTCTACTAGTTATCTAATTCATATATAAACCCAGTGATATTTGAATATAATCTCTGTTTAGAAGATCACAATATTAAGTGGCTATAATTTGCCATTTTAATAAACCTTCGGCAAAAATGAAAATAAACTCTTGATTTTCTGCACCAAACCATATTAGGCATTTAATACACTCTGGGTGATTGTAAAATATTTTACAATAGAGCTATTTCTTAAGTGTTTTTAAATAGTATTGATCATGAAACTTTTTGAAATTTACCATCAGGCCAATGGTGGCAGAGTCTACATAGAACTATGCTTCGTGGTGTTCTGGGAAAAACCTTTCGGCTTGTTGGCTATACTATTCAGTATGGCTGTATAGCTCATTGTGCTTTTGAATACGTTGGTGGTGTTGTCATGGTAAGTTTTTACATTCAAGAAAATAATCATTTAAAATATGTGTTTTATTTTTAATTGAAGGAAGAGAGTGTTTGAATTGGCACTGATATAAAATATAAGAACTGTAACTTTAAATATGGTCCTGCATTGTTTCTTGCAGGGGCACAAAGGCCCTATTAATCTAATAATACTAGTTTTTACCATTTATTGAATGCTACTTACTGTGTTCTAGGATGTGTTTGATGTTTTACATTTATTAACTCATTTAATCTTTTACACTCTATGAGATACTTACTAGAAATCTATTATACACATAAGGAAACTGAGGCTCAGAAAGCTTAAGTAACTTTCTGCAGGTCCCACAATTCCAAGTAGACTTGGAATTTCAGCACAGATTTCTCTGATTTTCAAAACCCCTACTTTTAACCACTGTGAAGAGTATCAGTAACTGTCCTGAAAATAAATGATTATTCTGCCTTGTGTCAACACTAAAATGTTAAGGCTGTCCTCCTACCAATGCATTTTCTTAATATTGCATCATAAATCTATCAACCATGACAATACTAACCTTTTGTCATATAAATGAAAGAATAAATTGATTGATTGTTCAGTCAGTAAGTTTTGCTGTTGGTGTTGCTATTTTTATCAGGTTTACCCTAAGATAGTCACAGTCATATAATCTCAAGCTGAGCTGGAGTAATGCAAATAAATATATTTAACTGAAACTCCCCTCTTTGATTTTTTTAAATTTACATTGGTATTTCCAGTAGGCTACAGAGTTAGCAAAAAACTTGCATTGTGGTCTTTGTTTTTTCTGCCCAAGTAGGAAGTTTTGAGTAAAAAGTTTTATTTACATGTAAGTGGAGTGAATGGAGACTGTTTGTTTAGATTTTTCAAGTTGCAATGATCATTTATTACAGTTTTGAGAAATATATGAAGATAATTGTTTTACCTACTAATATGAAAATCTTTAAAGTACATCTCATTATGCCAATATTTTTCAGTAGAAAATATAAGTTGCAGCCCCATCAAATGAGTAAGCTGTTCTCTTGGAAGAAAAGGAAAGGCATCAGCTCATTGAGAATAGTATGATACCACTTGGTAAATAACTGTCATGGGCACTGGATGATAGCTGACAGTAGCAAGAAAAAAAAATCATTAATTTATTCATTCAACAAGTATATATTGAGTATCAACCTTATGCCAAGCACTGTTCTTGACCTTGGTTACACAATTGGGAACATGAGAGACAAAGTCCCTGCCCTCATGATGCTTAAATTTTACGAGATGGCCAAAATTTGGAAACATAGATAATGTTATTTTATTTCTCTATTATAATATAATATTAACAAACCATTTTAAATATATTTTGCCTGTTTTTCCAGACTTGCTGGCTACTCTGTAGAGTTGAACTTATCTTGGAGCTTCCAGCTTATTATGAATCATCCTCCAAGCTTGAAGAACATTTGCTTGATTTTCTTTCTTTTAAGCCTGCTCAGATGATTTATATTTTAAAAGGTTTTCAAATTAAATTTTAAAATTGCCTTTCTTTCAGTGTTCTGGACCATCAATGGAGCCTACAATTCAAAATTCAGATATTGTTTTTGCAGAAAATCTTAGTCGACATTTTTATGGTATCCAAAGGTAAATTCTGCCACAGGTATATTAAACTGATGGTGAAAACACACATACACATATTGTGTCTTTTCTGCAGTTTCTTAACTTTAGCTTTAAAAACTTTTGTAAATAACCAAATTAATGACCAACTGGATGAAATTTTGGCTCAAATTTTTTCTCTCAGTTTGAGAAATTTTAATAGTTTCTTTAAACATGCAGTTCCTTGTATCATTGTGCAAAGTAGATAGCAGTCCCTTTTATAATGTGCATTCAAGAAGCCTTCTTTACTTTTCTTTTGCGGTGGGGGTTGGGGGGTGGGTTTGTCTTTATGTTTTGAATAAAGAACCAGGGACTTAGGTTACATTACATTACATATCCAAATCAGTGATTTGATTTTTTAATTTTTAAAATAATCCTGCATTTCTGTTGATGACTGTCTTATTCTCTATAGTCTATGATGAGCAGTTGGTGATTTTTAGACTATAGCACTGTATATAGCTGGGAGCCAGGAATCTTATCTATTATAAGTCTCCTGATTAATTATATTAAGTTAAAAAACTCCTTGGGAAATATTGTTTGCCACTACATCTTTTAAAATCCTAGTCTAAGTGGTGTTTCCAATCCTTGAGATACTGTTTATTCTACTTAACTCCCTGATTATTATTCCTTCTGAATGGATGTGAAGTATTAGTAATTTAGTGTATTTTCTAAAGGACACCCCTTTGATTCCCTAAAATTTGGGGTCCATTAGTTTTTCATAATTCTGAAAAAATAGATCTGTATCACATTTCATCTTCATAAAATACAAATTTTACTCACTTGAGCTGGTATTTAGCTTATAACATAAGTAGGTTTAGGCATTCCTCTTTCATTATTGTCCTTTTTAATAGTCTACTTTACATTACTGAAAAATCACCAAGAATAGTGTAAAACTGTTCTTTGTGTTTACTCGTTCTTCTACTATCTTAGATTCTGTAAATAGAAACTCTCTCTTGCTCAAGCTGTATGGTCTAGCATGGTCTGTGGGTAATTCCTCAGATCTTTTATCCGTAACAACTTCAAGATAATACCTAATTGATAGATATGAGGTTATAAAATAAAACTTATATAACAGGTTATGTTCTAGCTTCCTTTTCTTTTTAACTTGTATCAAAATAACTTATTACAGTCTTTGGATTAACTGGAGACCTAGCTTCGCTGCAACATGAAGACAAGCTTCTGTTTTCCATGCTAATCACATGATTTCACTCTCATAGTCCTTGAGCATCCTTAACAAGGAGCTGGACTCATTGGCTAAATAGTGTTTGAATGAACAGCTCAATATTGAGCTGGACTCATTGGCTAAATAGTGTTTGAATGAACAGCTCAATATTGTCTTTTTTTTTTTTTGGATAGATACTCTTTGCATTCAGATGGTAATACAAATAACTATATTTAGTAAATTAAGATTCTTTAGAGGTTTTATTTTGTATTCTGCTCCTTCAGGGGGCCCATTAGGTGGAAGGACAGTTCAAACTTTGGCATTTATAGGAGACATACCAAAGTAACTTTTACAGCCAAGGTAGTCAGTTGGTAACTCCTACTTTAAAAACATTACTGTCCTGAGTATTTTTTTCTTTTATCTGTAGCACAGAACTCTTGAGATTTCAGGGGAATCTCTGACCCCTGGCAAGAGATCCTCTTGCTAGCTGTTTCTAAAGATAGAGTAGCCATTCATTTAGGGAAAATGAAAGTATGCATATCTGGTATCTAAAGGACATAGATTTTTCAGTCCAGTGGACCGAACACTCATACTTGAGACAACCATAGTCTCTTATTACTACTTATTCTTTCAACAAATAGTTAATGAGCACCTCACTTATAAGATGTGCTGTACCTGATAGAGAATGTTAGGCTTAGCAAAATACTAACCCTTGTTTTCAAAAGCTTACAATCTACGAGGGGATAATAAGGATATTTATAAATGATACAGGAAAATTTCAGTCTTAGTTCTATTAAGTTTCTTTTAAAATCCTATTTGAAAGAGTTGAGAGTCCAAGGCTATATATTTTGATTTAAGCTCTGTGCCTATAATATCTGGTTAGACCACCAGAAATACAGTATACAGTAATGACGCTTTCTATTAAAACACCTTGACTGAATTATGATTTTTACATTGCCATTCAAGTGCAGAGTTTGTTTTGAGGATCATATTGATTATTTTGTCAAAACACTTAAGCCGAGGGCTTCCCTGGTGGTGCAGTGGTTGAGAGTCGGCCTGCTGATGCAGGGGACACGGGTTCGTGCCCCGGTCCGGGAAGATCCCACATGCCGCGGAGCGGCTGGGCCCGTGAGCCATGGCCGCTGAGCCTGCGCGTCCGGAACCTGTGCTCCGCAACGGGAGAGGCCACAACAGTGAGAGGCCCACGTACCGCAAAAAACAAACAAACAAAAAAAACAAGATGAATAAAACTCCCATGGAAAACATTTCTTTCCCCAAAGCTAGCCAAAATCAACTTTGTTAGTATGTTACATAGGTTACAATATTTGCAAACTTATTCATCTGAACAGTTCCATTGACATGGTTCCAGTTGGTTGGAAAGAGATACTTTATAACATTTTCAAACAAGTGTAAGCCTTATATTGCACTCCAACTTACAGAATTTAGTGTTTTAATAGCATTAAACTCTTATCAAGAATAACCTCAAGAAATGACTGTTCTGAATACTGTTGCTGTATTTTCTGTAAAGTTCTGATGAAGATGGTATCTTTACTTTCCTTACATAAGTATCCTTCTTGTATATTCCTCTTTAACTTAGTTGTTAAGGAAAATTTTGTCATACCTCCCAAACTAAACTTTATTTTATTAGGTAATGATTGCCATGTAATTAATCATAATTTATTTTTTGACCTGACTACCAAAAGTTTTGAACTCATAGTAATACTTATATAGCAATAACTAGGTTTCTGATTTAACCATCATCTTCCTTTTATTTTTGTGACTTTTGATATTGTTTTGATATATGCATCTTTTATTACAAGCAACATCAAATTATTTCCTGAACCTGGTACAGATAATAAGTAAATATATTAAATCCTTTCGATTGTGAGCAACAGAATTCACTTATTGCTCATTTCATGCAGAAAGAGCATTGTATTCTCTTTGGTTGAGGCATTAGTCATATTTTTTTATCTCCTTCTTCCTTTCCAATTTTCAATATCTTCTTAGTCTTCTAGTACATGTAGATTGTTATTTCTTCCATGAATCCTGTCTTCCATATGTAATCATATCCATATTGGTTCTATATGTTTGATTTGCCAGTTTATTTTTTGTAATATATGTTTGGACAGCTTTTAGCATTTTATTTGGCTGAGTCTTCTGATATTTTTTCTCAAATATATGTCTTTTTTGACTGTACTGTAAACTATCCAGGTTGTATAATTTATATGCTGCAATTCCTCAGTTCTTTAAGCTCTAGGGAAACACAGATGATGTTTCTACCTTTTTATGTGCTCTAGAGTCAATCAGTGCTACTGCTGGGCAGTCAAATTTGCTTGGTTAATTTGGTGGTATTTACACGGAATTGTTTTTTCATAGTTTTGGTTCTAAAATTTGGACACAGAAGTAACACTGAGTGGGTATGGTGCAAGAAGATAATTCTCATGGAATTATCAGAAATTTTAGAATCTTCTAATAGCTTTTCCATCACTCTCATTGTTAGATTCTGACCCATAAAGTTAGTCACAAAGGTTCTCAAAGCTGGTAAATGTATGGGAGGGTCAGTATGTCAGAGGATAAAAGGTATGGCTTTGTTTAAGTTGCTTTATAAAAGTATTGTAGCAGTGCCATGCATGTGTTTATGCTAATAATAACACTGACATTTCTTTGACTTTTTCCCCTCAGAGGTGACATTGTGATTGCAAAAAGCCCAAGTGATCCAAAATCAAATATTTGTAAAAGAGTAATTGGTTTGGAAGGAGACAAAATTCTCAGCAATAGTCCATCAGTTTTCTTTAAAAGCCATAGTTATGTAAGTAACATTTCAATTATGTTATTGATTGGTATCATAGTTGATTAACATTAACTGAACACACTGACAAATGATTATAACTTTTATTCATATTTTGAATATGTTAGAATAATGCATTCATTAGAATTTAAGTATGTTTGTATCAAGAACAACATGGCCATTATAGTTTATATATTTTATTTCTTTTTATATTTATAAAATATTTATATTTTATTTCTTTTATTTTCTTTTAAAATTTAATTTCTTTTCTGTAATTTCTTTTAAAATTTAAAATTCTTTTATTTTCTTTTAAGACCCTGTATAAACATCTCAGTATTAGTTGTTGCAGGCAAGATTCACCAATGAATGTCAAAATAATGGGCAGACGTTTGAGGAAAAATAGTGTATTTGCATAGTCTCAAAGTATCTTTCCCGGGCTTCCCTGGTGGCGCAGTGGTTGGGAGTCCGCCTGCTGATGCAGGGGACACGGGTTCGTGCCCTGGTCCGGGAAGATCCCACATGCCACGGAGCGGCTGGGCCTGTGCTCCGCAACGGGAGAGGCCACAACAGTGAGAGGCCCGCGTACGGGGGAAAAAAAAAAAGTATCTTTCCCAAGAAATTTTTACAAAGGGAAAAACAGTAGCTTCGTAGAGGAGAAACCTGGCAAACACCACCTTAACTGAGTGATCAAGGTTAACTTTACCTGTAACAAGACGTCAACATAATGTGACCCCTGAATTCAAGGACTGAGAAGGGCACATCACCTTTGTGGTACTCTTGTTAAAAGAAGGTATAGCCTCATGAGAAAACATCAGACAAACCCTAACTGAGGGTCATTCTGTCACATAATTGACCAATACTCTTCAAAAATGTCAAGGTCTTTAAAAAAAGGAAAGTCAGGAATTGTCATAGACTGGAGGAGACAAAGGAGACATGACAAGTAAATGTAGTCTGGAATTCTGGCTTAGATGGTTTCTCCACTGACTTGTTAGTGGAAAATCTGGTAAAACCAAACACAGTCTTGTAGTTTAGTTTTTTAAAATCCTATTTAAATGTTTAGGATAGATATTTTGGTGTAGTCAACTTGCCAACTCAGTTAGGAAGAAGAGTAAGAGCAGTAGAACGGAAGAGTGAAGAGCAAATGTAACGTGTGAGCCCCTTTCACCAGTCACATGGCTGCTGAGACAGCTTGTGGCAGGGGAGGGCAACCTTCTGTTTACTCAGCATATACTCTTCTCACTTTAATTATAATTTAATTTTCTATTTTTGTTTAAATTTTCTGTGTCACTGTCAGATTATTAATAGAGCTGTTACATCTGTTAAGTAACTTTATCTTCATCCCCAGTGTAAACATATAATTAAGAGTTAAATGGTCTTCATTGTTGTAAATTTATTTTGACCTACAATAGCCTCTGATTGCCCTATAAGTTTGATCAGTAGACTATTAAATAATCTGTTATTTATTTACCGTTCTTAATAGACTATGGTTCAGCTGTGCAAATGTTTATTACACTTTTGATGTTTATTACTACAGTGCTAAACATCCTAGGAATCCGTAGCTGATGGTGATAATGTTAAAGTTGAGAATGTGGTATCAGGTAACCTATTTTTCTGTGGCCTTCATCATGGATACTTATCCTTTTATTTTTCAAAAATGTCACTTATTTACGTAATGGTTTCACCTTCACATGACTATTTTCATTTCTTGAGGCATTCTAGTCACTTCTAAGTTGCTTTAGCAACAAGCATATACTTCAGACCAGAAATAGTTTTATCAACAGAAAGAATAACAAAATATATAAATGATAGCATCTACTATCTGTGTACAGTGTGTACACTGCTGTTGTTTTCTTTTAAAATTATTAGAGGAGGAATATTAGGATGAAAAGATTTAGATAAAATCTCTGCTAAGTAATCAGAGAAAATAACCAGAGGACTATAAGACGTACATTTTTTGAATATTCTATTTAAAGAAGACATTCATCGAATTTTTATGTTTGTTGAGAGGATAAATTAGGGGACACTGCCATTTTGTTCCAGGTGTATTCCATTCACTTTGGTTTGCATGTTTATAAGTGTACAAACAATTGTAATAATATTGGCCAGCACTTAACTGTGTACTTACTCTGTACCTGACACTGTTGAAACTCTTTCCAAGGGTTAATTTATTTAATCATCAAAACAGTAACCCAGTGAAGGTGGTAGTAGCATTTGACAGATGGGAAAGCTGAACAACAGGAAGGTTAAATAAATTGTCCAATTTCAAACAGTAAGAGAAACAGTTGGAATTCAAACACAGGTAGCCTGGCTCTGTCCAGAATCTATATTCTTTACCATGCCACTACTTTTCATCCCAAAATATCCTCTACTTACTATTATTATTTCTACTCCCATCTCATAAATTGTATTTCCCTTAAAATGTATTTGTCTTTATTATTTTTAAAAAGAAAGGCAACTGTTTCTAATCAGGGCCAGTATTAGTTCTGAAAGACAAGCCAGTGATTTTTGAAGGCTTCCTGGCTCCACCAGTTTTACTAGGCTGCGTTTTTTAAGCCATAAGAATTGTGTAGCTATTACAGAACCACTTTAGCAAATGTGTTCCATTAATCAAGGTGACTTATAACAAAAATTCATCCAAGTTTGGAGCACTGAAGAGATATCCAAACTGTTTGCATTCTGCCCCTCCAGAGTGTTCCCTTTTCCAGCTATCTCAGAAGCACACTGGTGCTGCATGCTATGAAAGGGGTTTCTTCCCCTTATCTGTGCATCCTTTCAGAAAAATCATTGTTGTTTATAGGTTATGAAGACATTACTATTCAGATCTTGATTGAGATGCATAATAAGGATGATATATATTAAACGTGTTTTGAATTTCAGGCAAAAAACATTTATTCTCCTAAGTAGGTGCTTCAGAAAGCAAAACACCAAAATTGTCATTTGGAACCTAGAACATAGAGTTTAGCATATGAAAGAAATAGCATTGTTTGTAAGTTGGCAAACAAGAATATAAACAGATCATTGGTTAAGTGATGTGAAACCATTTTATTCATTCCAGAGTTCTAAAAGTTCATGTGGCAAGCAGCACTTACGAAAGGTGATTTATTTTTTGCATTAAGCATTTGGAAACGAAGCAGTCCCTATCAAGGTCCTATTGCAGTGGGTTTTGCTTATTTTCATGGTATTGAGGCCAGTAATTTTTTCTCTTGGGTTATGGGCTGAGCATTGGCTACTAGGAAATGAGCTTAATTTGTGACTCTCAAAAGAAACAAATTGTACTCAGCTCAAACATCTTGAATAACTTGCCTTTCTATACTATAGGAATTCCTCAGTTTGCTGCTAGAAGCCACTAATTTGCCAAAAATAATTTAGTTGGAAGAAGCATTTAGCAGGTAGGAAGTACATTAAATGAATAGGCATTCTCCTGTTGATCTGCACAGCAGGCGATTTAACGTAGTCTCCATTCCCCTAGGGAATATAGGGCCAGGACTCAGGAAATACAGTAAAATTTTCTTATAAAGCTAATCAAGAAACTATAACACTTTATAATCTTTCTCAGGATAACATTGTGTGATAGTTCAGGGCTGTGATTTTAATCCATAATGTAACTGTGGTATATAGTTAGTCATTTTGGAATACAGTAAGTTCCTATCAGCAAACAAACATGCTATAAAATCTCCCATCTAAACAAACAAACTCCTTTGGCACCACATCCTCCTATAGGAAAGAGTCGTGCATACTTACTGACTCGACTCTGAACTTTATATTCTCTTTTGAACTCATTCCACTTAGACTTTGGTCCCCAGCACTTTATTGAAAAGGTTCTTGTTAAGAGTCACTGATGACTTCTCTGTTGTCGATCCAGTGGTCAGCTTTCGGTCCTCGTTTTACTTGACCTATTCTTAGTATTTGAAGTAGTTGTTCTTAAAGCCTGGTTTCACTTAGTTTTGGGGATACCACTCTCTTTAGGTTTTCTTCCTCTCTTTCTGCTTCTTCTGAGTGTCCTTTGTTGGTTCCTCCAAATATTGGAGTAACTCAGGGTTTGTATTTTAAACTTCTTTTGTTTATATACGTGCACTTAAGGTGACCTCTTCCTGTCTCATGGTTTTAAATACTATCTAACTCAAGACCTAAATTTATATCAACCACAGCTTCTTTCCTGAACTCCAGAATCATATATCTGATAGTCTGTTTAATATCTCCACCTTAGTATATAATGTTCACCTTGAACTTAATATGTCCAAAACTAAACTGATTTTCCTTCCAAAACTGGCTTGTCCCACATGTATTTCCCAATCATGGTAAAGGTGCCTCCATTCTTCTGCTCACTCAGGTCATAAACCTTGGAGTCATCCTTGCCTCTCTTCCTCTTTCACCCTCCCATCCAATCCACTAGCAAATCATGTTTACAAGATTGTATCTTGTAAATATAATCAGAATTAGACGACATCTTGCCCCCATCACTGCTACCATCCTGGTGCAAGTCAAATTCATCTCACTCTTGTTTTCTTGCAGTAACTTCTGAACTTCTCTCTGAGCTTATACCTTTCCCATCTTCTTGCCTCCTTACCCCTCTACTGACTACTCTTCACACAGTAACTGAAATGAACCTTTTTAATAATGATGCTTTTTCATAAAAATAATGTTACTCTTCTACCCAAAGAGCTCAGTGGCCTCCCATCTCATAATTAAAGCCATGGTCCTTTTGATGGCCTACTAGACCCTACACTCTTCCTGCTGCCTGTTCTTGTAATTAAAGTTTCATTGGAACATGGCCACACTCATTTATTTACATATTGTCTGTGACTGCTTTCAGTAAAACAGCAGAGTTGAGTCATTGTAACAGAGACTCTATGGTCTGCAAAGCTTAGCTATTTACTATCTGGCCTTTTACAGAAAAAGTTTGCTGACCCTTGCTCTACAATGTAAGGTTCTTAATGGCAGAGATTTGTTTTGATCTCTGCTGATTCCTCAACACCTAAACTTTTATTTGGCATCTAGTAGATACTTTAAAAATACTTAAA